AGGCATGCGGCGGCCCGCGCGCGGCGCCGCGATCACTGAGCCAGGAGGCTACGGATGGGTCCACAGCTAATCGCAACACCTCGGTTCCCCGAACCTTCGTTACGTTTAGCCTTGAGCCAAAATGGCTACGGAGGGCGGCGGGGGAGGAGGAGGAGGAGGAGGAGGAGGAGGAGGAGGCGGACAAGGAGGAGGAGGAGCAGGACGGGTCGCGTAAGCCCTTCGGAAAACCTCGCACACCCACCCAGCGAGCGCACGGGGGCGCCCACGAGGCGACCGCGGGCGGGCACCGGGCCCGCGGCCGGCACCGGGCGAAACCTCGGCGAGCCCGTGCCACGGCCTGACGACCTACCAGACGCGGCTTCGACGCGGGTTCGACACGGACATGGGCGCGAGCGAAGGCTCAAAGGGGGGAGCGCGGGCGCGGCGAGCGAGGGGCTCACATGCCAGGCTGGTGGGTGCCCCCCCAGGCGCGGCATGTCCGCTGGGGGCGTTGGCCGCCGGGCCCCGGCAAGGCGGCGGCGCGGGGCTCGCCCCCGCGCGTGCGCGGTTGAGGCCCCGTCGGGGTCATCGGCGCGCCCGCCCTCGTCGCCCTTGAGACCAGCAAGGTCTCAGAAGAAGACCGACTGCACGATCGATCTGCCCCGAAAGCGGTTCTCCCGCCGAATCCACGACACGTGCGCAGCACGTCGCCGTGGATCCGACGAAAGAAAACGATCCCGGGGCACACCGATCCTGCAGTCGAACTCCTGCTCCAATGGCCTGACCCCAACCCAACGCGAAGACCCGAATTTGACTCGAGTTTCGGGTTGGGGGAGGGTACGGGGTCCCTGTGTTTTTGCCCACGTTCCCCACCCCCCACCCCCCACCCTCCACCCCACCACTGGAAATGGAGGGCACCTTGAGGCCGTCGGGTACTCCAGATTTCGTATTAAAAGGGAGGGGGTCTGGACCCTCCAAGACAAGCCAGACCCCCCAGGCCCTCCAAGATAGCCTGTAAGAGAACCCCCCCGAAATGAGACCCCCCTCCCTTTATTACGAAATCTGGAGTATGGTTGGGGTGGTCTGGTGGGTGGACAGGACCTGGGAAATAGAAGATGAGCAAGATCCCCAAAAGTGCAAGCGCTGGGCGTGGAGCGGCACTGCGCTTTCACAGCGGCCGCCTGCCGCCGGGCGTCCGCTGGCGGACCCGCTGCCGTTCTGCTTCCACTGGCTCCCCCTGGCTTTGCGCCGAGAGGATGCCCAAGGTCCTCCTGTCCCTCCTCCTCCTCCTCCTCTCCTCCTCCTCCTCCCTCCTCTCCTCCTCCTCCTCCTCCTCCTCCTCCTCCTCCTCCTCCTCCTCCTCCCTCCTCCTCCTCCTCCTCCTCCTCCTCCTCCTCCTCCTCCTCCTCCTCCTCCTCCCTCCTCCTCCTCCTCCTCCTCCTCCTCCTCCTCCTCCTCCTCCTCCTCCTCCTCCTCCTCCTCCTCCTCCTCCTCCTCCTCCTCCTCCTCCTCCTCCTCCTCCTCCTCCTCCTCCTCCTCCTCCTCCTCCTCCTCCTCCTCCTCCTCCTCCTCCTCCTCCTCCTCCTCCTCCTCCTCCTCCTCCTCCTCCTCCTCCTCTCCTCCTCCTCCCTCCTCCTCCTCCTCCTCCCTCCTCCTCCTCCTCCTCCTCCTCCTCCTCCTCCTCCTCCTCCTCCGGCCCTGCGCACCACATGACTCCCAACCCCGGGACAGCCAGAGGGGATTTGCTGACCCCCGTCAAGGATGACCACCAGGTTCGGCAGGTTCGCGTCGTGGCGACTTGCGCGCTGGTTGCCGACACCGCGTGGAGAGTGTTAGGTCGGGCATGTCCCCATACGGGCGGGCCGTGGAAGAAAAGTAAAGCACAGCTAAGGAAAAAGCAATAGTGGCCAAAGGAGCGCGAAAAAAAACGCCACCAGACTACTCCAGATTTCGTAATGAAGGGAGGTGGGTCTCATTTCGGGGGGGGGTCTCTTCCAGGCTATCTTGGAGGGCCTGGGGGGTCCGGGGACGATGTTTTGGAGGGTTCTCCCACGGGGGAGGTCTGAAATGGCTCGTCTTGGAGGGTCCAGACCCCCTCCCTTTTATTACGAAATCTGGAGTATTCTTTCACTATTCTGGAAGGCTCCTCCTGCAGAGGGACATGCCCGACGAAAGGATAGCTCAAAATCGAACGATCGCTGCTCCCCGCTCGCGCAAGACCGGTCGCATGTCGGCCGACTCCAGGCCACCGGCGGCGGCGGCGGGCCTAGGAAGAAAAATAAAAGAACAGTCCAGGAACAAGCAAAAGTGGCCAAAGGTGCGCGAAAAAAAACGCAACCAGACTATGCTTTCACTATTCTGGAAGGCTCCTCCTGCAGAGGGACATGCCCGCCGAAAGGATAGCTCAAAACCGAACGATCGCAGCCTCCCGCTCGCGCAAGACCGCTCGAATGCCGGGCGGGCCTTGGAAGAAAAATAAAGAGCCGTCAAGGAAAAAGCAAAAGTGGCCAAGGGAGCGCGA